CTGTTTTCACGCCGCAGAAAATGGAAAAATTGACACTTTCTGAGCCTATGTAACTTTCATGTCACATATTAACATCTATATTTTATTAAATAATGAGACTTATTTCAACAAGATGGCGTGCACGTCTTGTACAATATCTTTGCACACAAGTACGAACGTTGTAAGTCGTTACTTCAAAATTGTAATATGTATTCGATACAATAAAATTCTTGAAACTGCTGAATTAATTGTTAATCTGTAATTTTGAGTTGATACTTGCTCAGTTTACGTTACATAAATTTTGTTAAAGTCAAGATAAATATTCGGCCCATAAAGGGTTAACTAAATGAACCTTGGCCTACATGTCACCTTTCTTCAAATTCTTTTTACTTACTGTATTTTTGCTAATTCAATTCAATCCACGTGTCCTTCATGGTTTAGGTGTAAACGTTAGACGAAAGGTCCCAAAATAGGATGTGATTTTTTTATTGTGAATGATCTTTAATTGATTATATTGAAAGACAATTTGATATGTATATGGAGACTCCTGTACTTGAATTAATAGACAGATAGAAGTGACTATATAATGGAATTTTCTTGTAATAGAAGAATTACTTTCCTTTTGTATTAAACGTGATTTATTCAAATGAAAATCACCAAAATTGATTATTTTAATAATTAAAGATTCTGTATCCTTTTGGCTGTTAAATCACGTAGGTTTTATAGGCTTTCGTGATGTCTGTCTCTGTCTAGAAAAATGTTTCAGAATGTATCGAACTAAACTAAGAAAAAATATTGTTAACTAATTTCGTGAATTAAGTATATTTGAAAAAGATATACGAAAGCTCGATTTAATCTTGATTCACTCAGAAAACCGACATTATGCAAAATACCGACCACGTGGAAGGAAGTGAGGAATCATACATCGCATCGTCCTTGAAAAGTTAATATAAGACATATAATTTGATGATTGAAGGGAGAGAATTTGCCTCCTTCGAGAGCATAAAATATAGCTTCAAATATGAAAAATGACAAGAGTTCGTCAAATTCGAGGCTGTATCAACTGCTTTCGAAGAACATGAAGTAAACTCTTAAACACAAAAAGTGATGCAATTTGTTAAATATATGTTTAAATTCTTCTTTATAACTAATTAATCCATTTTGCAAACGTTTCCATTCGTTAAAAACGTGAATTACAGTTTCGAACATAGAAAATGACAAAATTTATTATATTTTGGATTATGCTATTTTCTGTAATTTTGATTAATTTAAAAATTTCTTTCTAACAATAGGATAAAAATATTTGGTTTTTAAGAATAGAAAATATAACTTCAAACTTAAAAATTGTTAGAGTTTACTAAATCTGAGGTTGTGTTATATTTTCCAATTAATTAGAAAATATCACTAAAATCACTATGCATGAACTAAGGTAAAAAGGCTGCCTGACAATTCCCTCTGACGATTTACGTGCAGTACTTACGTTGTGTTGTACACGCATCGCGTAAACCTGTTCTACATGTTTCGCAAATTAGACTTGATCGTATCAGAGTCGTGAACCATAGCATTTCAACAAAATGAATTGAAAAGAACATTACGCCTGTCTGCAAACTATGCTTAAATGATTAAATAAAAAGCTAGGATACCTGTATTCATTATTTGTAAGTATTTTTACAAACGTTTTACTATTTATATTTTATTCCATGCAAAAGGAAGAAATGACTACTGTTGTTTCAAAAGAGATAAATTTCTGTGTAATTTAGTTACATGATTATTCTTATATATTAATTATTGCTAATTTCTTCAGAACGTTGCAATATAATATCTAAAATTTTTTTTACGTATTCATATAAAGTATCCCCTCTTTAATATTATGGAAATGAATTAACTGTAGTTTATAGTTCTTTTTTTATGACACAAGTACGAAAAAACATTGTTTAAGAATGTCAAATTTTTTTAATACATTTTCGTTTGCTGAATCCAAATCTTATCAGAGGATGAAGGAATAACAAATATCGTCTTTTGTTACATTAACTAAAACATTAGAAAGAAAATTTTTCTCGATATTTTTGGCAACAGCATTGAATAATATTTTTCAAAGCAAAATATTTTGCTGAGATATTTTAATTACGTGTTATACTATATTATACAGTATTTTATTTCATAGTGCAGTATCTTGGAACATATTACAACTTAATAGCTATTGCGTCATTACACAATTTAAAGTATTCAAATTTCTTGAATTTCCAACTAATGGATCTATAATATAACACTCTATAATAAGGAGACTTCATATGCCCCACGTAAAACAGTCAAGAATCAACAAATAGCTATGGTGACTGTACTAACCTTCCCCTATAAAACCAAATTTGATTGAATTACAATCATATCATTTCTGTTACTTTTCTCCAAAATATACTGTTATGAAGTTATTCGAGAAACGTTTATTCTATTCAGATATATGTTACAAGTCGATAGTTTCCGCGTTCAGCAGAGAACAAATCTATTCAAATACCTGAAATGCCGAAGAGAAGAAACAACTCGTGGATTTCTCTACGGTACCTTATTTATCTCATGTTTAACTTTCATGTATTGATGAATGGATAGGAGGAAGCACACTTGATTTCTCAGAAACATCTTTGCAGTTGGATAATACACAAGAAAGGGAATGCACCTTCGTTATCTCATTTCACAGTAACTTAGGTTTTGGAAAGGTATTCTATTAAAGGCGATGAATGGATCGTTTAACCGTACTGCAGCTATAAATGAACAATAATTACTGTCGTGGTTTTTCCTTCAGGTTAGAGACTACGTGATACACCTTCGAAAGCGAGAGTTGAGATTCTTTCCTGAAACCGTTCATTGCAAAAAGCAATGGAGACTCGAGATTATTAGAGAAAGCTATCGTTGTAACCACGACAGGTACATTCGAGCATCCATAGAATACGAGGAATGAGTTACGGTATGTGATCTCGCGTAATTGGAATTGTTCTGTTGGCAATTATGCTACCACTCGACGCCTCGGTCGTTTCCTTCACTGCAAGTTTCGAATGAACGTGTTTGGGTATGTGAGGTATTTAACGCAAGATAGTATTCTGTTCGTTTCCGATTATAAATTTCTCTGTAAATTACGTAAACGTAAAATACTACAGGAATTACCAATTTTTAATTATTGAGAACTTTATTGCGGTTGAATTGTAATAAGCGTGGTATCTGATGAAAGGTTACAAAAACATTTTCCAAGTTACGTAAACGTAAAATACTACCGGAATTATTAACTTTTAACTATTAAGAACTTTATTGCGGTTGAATTTTAATAAGCGTGGTATCTGATGCAAGGTTGTACAAATTTCTAAGTTACGAAAATGTAAAATGGTACAAGAATCGTGAATTTTTGCTTATTAAAAACTTGATTGTTGTTTAATTTTAATACGCGTAGTATCTGATGTAAAGTTTCGAAAGTTTCTAAATTACGAAAATGTAAAATGCTGCAAGAATTAAAAACCTGTGCTTGTCCCGAATTTTATATTGTTAAGTTTGGATATGTGTTGTATTTGATGTATAGTATTACTATGACTGTCTTCAGTTAAAAATTTTTGTATAAAATAACAGAAATATAAAAAGTCGAGAGGATTGGAAATTTTTGCTCATTTTATGTTGTTAAATTAAATATATGTAGTATCTTGTAAAAAATATTAATTTGATTGTTCTGGATGTACCATTTTTATGCAACTTAAGAAAACGTAAATTGGTATGAAGACTGACAATTGTCAATTCTGGATTGGAAAATTTTTAATGAATATTAAATTATGCGTGTACCTGTAATATATGATATAAGGTATCATTATGATTCATTTCATTACGATTAATAATTAACAATAATTTGATGAATAAACTATAATTTGGTTTCATTTAAATTAAAGATTTTTGTATGAATGATGGCAAACAATTGTTAATTAGGTACACTCTGTTTAAACAGTAAAATAATTGAACACAGTAAAGTTAATTGAACATTTTTATTAAACATTTTTATGAATCATTATAAGATACGAATTTTGATTTCAATATGAAATTTGTAGGGGATCTTCTTTCTGCAAATGTAGATTTTTTAGATAATTTCATAGCAAATGTATGCAGGGATACTGTTTGATTGGTAAATATAAAGAATAAGAGATATTATTATATTCTAAAATATATATTTATTACGAGCTTAATGAGACTAGGAGTAAAGTATAAACTAAAAGACTAAACTTATAACTGATTTATAATTACCAACTTATGATTACCGACCGACACTCTCACGTCAACTCTCGCTAAAAAATTCGTAAAAGACTGTCTCGAGACAGCCCTTGCATCCTTACTTGACCCTAGCAGTCTCTCTTCTTTCACACGCAGGCTTTCTTTCTCGATCACTTATAAACATCCCATCCATACAATTCTTGCACGAGGTCACTTGTCCTTTCACATGCATTCCAAATACCCCAAGTGTTCTCTTGCACTCACTATCAAAGCCTACATATATATGAATCACCTCTAGGTTTTTCTTTTTATTTAACACGTTAAGTGCCCAGCCCGTTTTGCTTGCCGTTCCGTTCAGGCCCAGACTCGGCCATCAAATGGGTCACAGACAGCAGGCGAAGTTGTATGTTCATAAAACTCGGAGATACTGTACCAATTATTATAACAGGAATTCCCAAACGTTAGGTCCAAAGATGGCGAAGAATTTAACACCAAAAATTAGTACCTTTGGGTCCTAGTCTGAACCAATTCCTGAGGACCGGCCGGACCCGAACGGAAAGTCTAGCGCCGGTCCCTGGGGACCGAAGTGGCACTTAACGTGTTAAATAAGGAAGTATAATGAATAATAAGTAAGGTAAAATAATATCTAGCTAATATTTTTCTTTATTTCTTTATATTGTTCTGTAACGATTCTTGTCTTAACAAAGTGAATGAGAATTAAGATAATTAGCTTCTATCATAATATATCTAGATTGATGTTTCTTCGATAGTGTCTCAGATATGTTTCATGATTCCCACCAAAGGGAATTTCCAGCGAATCCCCACGGCGAGCTATCGCAAACAGTACCTGCAATCGCATCTCGAACTGACACTGTTAATATTCTAAAGTTCACGTCGGTATAGTTCAGAGTTGACAGCAAGAACACTGGCATTTTGTCTGATATAATCCATAACATACCACGATTCACCTAGAAATCATAAAATTTTACTATTTTACTTTGTGTCGTCGAAAAAAGACAATCTATAAATGTATTAATGAACAATTAATTTCAATAAATGGTATTTTATGAAATAAATAGTTAATTCAATAAATAACTATTTAGTTTTAATTAAAACTGACATTAATACTATTTGCAGTCGAATACTACAAAATACAAAATATTACCTCTATATTAATCTAAAGTGACGCGCATTTATTTGCCATTTATGGCTGTGTAGCAGAAAGAATTTTGATAAAACATTTTTTGGTATTGCCTGTACATTAGACCATAACAAAAACAATAATAGGAAAGATAAGAGAAATAATAATGAAATAATAAAATATGGAAGAATAAAACAATGAAAATAATATGAATTTTTTAATATAGATTGTTTTCATAGCGAATTTGAAGTCTTGGGTATCCTAAATAGATTCAGAAACATTAAATCGAATTTAAAACTCAAACTCATAAATATATAAATACGAAATTCATCGAAGTATTGAATATTAATAAAAATCTATGAAATAAAGTAAATTGAATGATTTGATACTTTTAATTAGATTTACCAAATTCATAGTAGCATTTAGATAGAGTCTCAAATGAACAAGTAAATGTTCATTTCCTATATACTATCTGGATAAACTCTGGAAATATTCGCATATTACGGATAACATATATTGCTGTTATTCACTTACCAAAATTGTCAATAGGAATTATAATTCATAATTTTACCAGAGAAATAAAGTTATTAAGATCGATGAAAGATAAAATTAAATTGGAATATGAAATTGAATATTGTTATTAAATGAAATGCTTCCTTCACCTTAACATCTGCTGGGAATATCATAGCTTCGTCATGTCTGACAAGCACTGCATGATTTTCAGGTGAATATGGTAAGACGGAGTTCCAACAACCTACTGCGTTTTGATCAATTAAATTGAAAAATTGCATCCCATTTTCATCCATAATGGCAGAAGTGCAGTGTCCAAGTTGTCCTCTTTCCGGAAGAACCTATCGATATTTGAGATAGAAATAATTTATCTTTTTATAAAATATTATTGTAATATTTTGAGTACAATGCTTGGAGTACGAAGCAGTAACAAAATTAGAAAATTTCAATCGACTCTAAAGCTTTAATTGAAGTCATGTATACTTTTATTCAGTAATACGTTGATATTTGAAATTATTATTAGAATGTGTATTTTTATTACAGTGTTAAAAATATCTTTGAAATTATTAAAATTTAAATGATCTAAATATTATTAAATATAGTATTTTAATCATTTAATCATCGTATAATTTATAATAGGTCGATAATAACTATAATAAATTTAATGAAAAAGCGAATAATAATAATATTGAAATATTAAATGTTATTTAAAATATGATTTTAAATATTTTAAATAAATTTCTACTATTGAAGCTAGTATTGAAATACATAATTTAAAAAAATTTTTGATATCAAAAATAAATTAATCTTTGCACTTGAAAAATTTTCGCTGTTAAGAATTAGTTACTCAAAACTAGTTACTATTATAAAATCGATTGTATTTTTGCAATTAAATGAGAAAAATAACCATATATAAATTTACGAACATATATAATTATTTAATTTTAATATTTAATAATTTTTCTATTTGGTAAAAGTCTCTTCTCGAATAGAAAGAATTAATAATTTTCGTATAATACCTCACGGAACAATTTTATATGATTAAACCAATATTAAATAATAAATCAAGCAGCAGAGATAATATAATACTTCTATTATACTACTATCGTAATATTCTTCACCTTCATTCAATTACTGTACTACTTGTTATAGTAATTAATATTAAAATTGTCACCTGAAATTCGTGATAGCTATTTTGCGACAAAGTTTCGTCGCGTAGAATCTTCGTCGAAACCGCGAATTCTCTTCTGCTGCTGAGAGGATGGAAAAACAGAGTCCTAAATCCGTTCGAGGCGATTGGTGACAAACTCATGCCAAAAATCCCTTCCTCGCCCCATTGGAAATTCAGACCACCGATATTATAATCTCCGGCCAATGGATCAGGCATGAAATAGCTGTGTGTGAGTCGCCAGGATTTATTTTGTTCCCATGAGTATACTATCAGCCCGTAGCCTAATTCGTCAGACATGTAGGCGAAAGCGTCGTCGCAGCCACCTTTTCCCAAATCGACAGCGATGTTGGCAATGAAGGTGTTCTGGATGAAGAATTTTAATTGCGTTATACAACGTGTTACATTCCAGAATAGAAGAACTGAAAATACCATCTGATATTAGGGAAAAACATTTCTTTCACGCTGTGTGCACCCATGTACATAATTCACGTGCATATGGAACTGTTTGAAATAGTAATAGCTGTGCAATGAATGAGTAATGTGTTTCGAATATTTTTAATAAATATTATAAATATTCTTTAATAATATATATTCTAATATTTAATTTTGAGAATGATAGTCATTTTTCTTAAACGAAAATAGTTTTGTTGTGTAATGTAGATTATTTTGATATACAACCCTACGTCATTTTACACACAGTTACATAATTGCAATCTACTAGGCTAGGATAAGTAATTAGTGTTGTAAAATAAAAGAACGTTGATTTTCACAACTCCATTTCTTAATATTTATAAATATGAATCATTTTTTTTAATTATGCCAATGAAAACATTTACAGGAATCGACTTCTCCAATTAATAAACATACAGCTTTGACATTTTTAAAACTCGTTTTTAAAGCAGGATACCAACGCCTGATTATGTAATAAATAGTTACTCACGAATATTATATTTCATTTCAATCATATATTTCAAATGTATAATAGAAGAAAGTTAGTATAAAATTATATATCGCAAATCGTGTAAAATAAATAATTTAATATCAAGAAATCGAAGATCCGTTAATTTATTAAGTGAAGTTTTACAATGTGCAAACTCTGTGACCAAGTATATGAGTTCTTATATTTTACTTAACATTGCATAATTTTCATTTAAGGAACTACACGGAACGATTGATTTTGATAAATAATACTGATTTAGTTAATAAATATTTGTATTATTGCAGAGTAATTGAAATTTCATAAAAAATATGTGCAAATATGAATATTGTACATTATGTAGCTTTTCTACTAAATTATATAACTGAACACCATTATATATGTAATATTGTCCAAAAAGCAATTAATTTCTTTATGGCCTCGACTGGTTCTAAAAATCAGAGAAATTTTCTTTTTTCAAATAACCCTTCATTATTAGAATTCATTGATAACATGTATCTTGTTACAAAATAAGAGAGAAAGTGGATATTTATGTGCTAATACCAGTTTGACTTCTATTCAAGTTTTAGTCCGTCAGACCTTTTGAGAAAGTTAATTATAATTCTAAAGTTTCTTAAAATTTTTATATACAAATTTTCTAAATGTCGTCTTAATTTAATTTTAGTTTATAATGATAAGCTAACTAAAATTACCAATGATATTACAAATATCATATTGAAAATGGAAAAGTGAAAAGAAATAATTTTAAAATACAAAAATTAGGAAACAGGAGAAGGATAATATTCCATAATTTTAATTCTAAGCAAAAATTAAAGTAAAATGATATTGTATAAATACTCATATAGAAGTTTACTTCATATAATAAACCATAAGTCTTCGATTTCATGTAATTTTATATTACACAGCTATACATACCATATTTATATCTTCAGTTCTCAATCTGTATTGCCTTACAATTTTATCCGTCGTTAAATCAAAAACATTCAGGGTGTATGGACATGCTTGTACCGTTGTGTTACCAGTACCTATTGTACCAGTATCCAACACCCAAAGTCTGTCGCAAACATCTGCGTGTATTCTGTAATAGGAATAATAACATTAAATTTTTTATTCATTGATAACGAACAGTACCTTCCTACGAAATTATTTTTAAACGTGTAAATGCTTCCCATATAAAATTTCCCGCCAAATTATAAAGAATTTTATTTATTTGTACATAATAATATTAAATCCTTTGTAGACTAATTTCTGTTTTTTAGATAAAATTATATTACATGAAATTTATCATAAAAATGTATAAATTTTGTTTTATAAACTTTTAGATATAAGTTTAGATTTTACTTCAACGATTTATATTGTATTGAATATTTTGTTTCCATTTGTAGACCCCTCATTTTAAATCCCAAAAGGATTTTTTGAGTTACCTACAGTTCGATATTTTTGGATCTACATCGTTATAATATATCTACAATAAATGAAGTTTTAAAAAGGAACAAATATATTTTATATAATGCTAAAACTAGACGAAATGGAACAAACCGAAAATGTCGAACTTAATCGAGCAAAATACTCTAAAAGATAAATTCCAATTTTTAATCATTATCATATATCATTATATCATACAACTATAATGACGCAACTGCTTATCTAATTAAAATAATCAGTATTTAAAATTACACTACAAGACCTTAGAAACATTTTTTCTAATCTAAATAATTCATATAGATTAGTAATTGTTAATTATTAATAATTGTTTTCTAATCTAAAATAATTTTCTAATCCAAGAAATATATTTTTACTCAATGAATCATAATATTTGACAACATGATATATATAAAATCGTGAGAACTTGTCTATTTACACAAACCAGAAAATCTTTTCATTATTTTAAATATATTCCACGAGAAAAGGCAAGAGAATATTCTCACAGGTTTGATACTTCGTTAGCAATAGATAAATAGGTTGTTCAACCAGAATCAAAGGTTTTTATGAAAAATGCTTATGGGATAGGAGATCACAGTCAATAGATTAAGGTCTAATCGATTCTACAGTATCATATAATTCACCTTTCCCTCCTTTTCGTATAATCAAAGCTCGTTATTTTGATTTGTAGGAAATTAACACAACGATTGTTTACATTCAATTGTTGGTTATGAAAGAAATGTAATTAATCATGTCAGCGTTTATGGTGTATCTAGTTCTTCTGTTAGGTCTATTTAGTTGCGAGAAATAAGAAAGAAAATATCACGTTTCATATCTAATTGGTTAACTGGATACTGTTTTCTCTTTTATAATTAAACTGTTTCATGTTGCTTACTGTTACTTTGTACAAAAATATCAAATATTTACTGACATTCTTGGTGACATTAAAAATACATGATAGCATTAAATATGGAACATAAGTAATGAAATTTTATTTGAACAGGTAGGAAAGTTTAGTTACTAAATATTGTTCCTTATTACAGTTCTAAAGATATGTTAAATATATAATAAAATGAAATATAAATTTCTTTTATTAATTTTGTGAGTTCAATAACGTTAATATAGGTCATTCAAATGAGAAAAATGATTTAAAAATATTTGGGTAAATCGTATTTTTAAAACAGTATTTCTTTATTTAATATATACATGCATATAAAATATAGCTAAAAGGATTGTGCAACTGAACAGAAGATTGTATTTCTTATGCAAAACTATTATTAATAATATTATTAATAATATACATATATATATTATTCAATTAAGATACGTGAAGAATGTGTGTAGTTATACTACGAAGTTTTGTGTACAATACATACCTATAAGCAGTAGTAATGGCGCTACCACAGGCTCCAGCTTTATTCTGTGCCCAATTAGGATAAGGGGTGAGTTTCGGGGAACCACCTCGGTTTGTGTCGAGTGATATATAATTTAAAGTAGCGGGAATTCCTGTGATATGAGAAGATTACATTTGATAATGAAACGCTAATTCTTGCTAAATCATTTACATAATCTCCTACGTACTTAATTTAATAAATATTTTATCGTTAACCTTGAACATATTTTTTTAATTATATTGTCATATTAGAAGTACATTGATAATTTTGTAAGTACTGTACTTTAATAATTCATATGTTATTCAATTTTTGATTTAAAATGAGAGTGATTCCTAGTTGATATTTAACGACTTTTATGAAAGACAAATAATTTACACTAATATAATTAAAAAAGGGTTCACAAAAGCTTTAATTGGATTTAGAAGCATCTAATTCCTTCCTATTGCAATAGTTTAACATTTTAATACTGTAAAAATAATTCTTCGAATATGCGATCTATCATTATCATATAAGTCACTATTCATTGCTTAAACTCACTAATTATTAGTGTATATGAGTATGCTAAGATTATTACTGTTTCATATTTTCTTCTTTATTTCTATATTTGAATCTATGTAAATATTATTATATAAATTGAATGAATTATTTAATAATTGTGTAATAACTTCCAAATCTATGATTAAACAATTATATCAGTTATTATGAAAGTTAATAAAAGAATTCAAAACAATACATACATTATTACAAAATAGTATATTTACATTAATATTGTATCATCATTAGTGTATTAAATTATACATAATAATATAATTTCTTTCTGTAGAAGATTATAAAAGAATTTCATTTAGAAATTAAATTTTAAATTTGTCGTCTTACTCAACTGAATAAAAATTATTTTCTTAATCCCATAAATTAATCTCATGTTATTATTTTATTTATTAAGGCAAAAGCTTCATTGTCATTTCGTTATATGTATCTCACGAAAAATTTATCTCGAAAGTTTGCAGCATGCCTTCATGACTGACAAATCGCGTGACTGACAATAAGTTACCGCGTAGGTGACACGCAG